TAGGATCTATAGTAACCCAAACATAACCTCCAAAGGTAAAGAAAACAAAGCACAAAAAGCAGTTAAATAATGAACTAACTCTAAGGTAACCCCGCTTTTGTAAAGCCTTGTCCCAATAGAGTTTCCAGTTCTATGATACGGTGGCAGAACCGACTGTTTAATACTGGTTTTTCATTTGTGTTCGCAAATGTTGCGGTAAGCAAGAGTCACCGCCGAGTTTTCTTTCTGAGTAAGGGGGGTAGATTATGGAAAGGGAAGGTGTTAGAACCCTTTCCATCTGTAGTTATCTACGGGATCTTAGAGGTTTTCTCATTTTGAAATAACTTTGTGCTTTGTGTATTTTGAAAATGTTTGGAAAATGCCTTAGTGCGGCGATTTTCTTTGCGTTTAACTCTTGTATCAATCCTCAAGAGTGTTAACAAAGCAAATGTTTGAAAATTTCTTTCGAAAAGTAATATTTATGTAAGTGCAAAAATGTTTTTTGAGCAAACTTCTTATAGCTATCTACTTTTATACTCGAAAAGGGTCATTCTTTTCCTCCTATCCTTTAGACAGTGGTATCCTACTATTAGTGAGTAGGTAGCCCTATCGTTGGATGTATTAGGGACATTCGAAAGGGACGTTACAGTCATGAAGGCAACTTGTGGAGACCCTTTAGCAATTTTGTTTAGGGACTAGATCATTTACCGAGAAGGCAACTATAGGGTCATCGAGGGACTATGATCTTTTAATTTATGGGTCTTTTCTAAAGCGTTTCTGCCTCATGACTGTTTTATTTCTGAAGGCAACCAAAGTGGGGTACCCTAGAGGTGTATATGTGCAAGTGTGTTATATTCAGTTATTTTTGTCTTTTTGTTAAGTTTGCTAACATTTGATTTCAGTCTTTTCTTACACGCCTAGTTACTAGCAGTAATATTGTACAAAAAATAAAGTGCGGAAAGTGTAAATCTAAACTATTACATGGCTTTCGGGGAGGGGGATATTTATAATGTACGAAAATTGGGAGAAGGAAAATAAAGAAAGGAGATAAAATCCTATTAATCATTACATTCAGTATGTAGTTACATGAATATAAAGATGCGAGAAATAAATAACGTGCGAAAGGTTGAAAGTTCGTCTAAAACCTAATAAGAAAAATCTTTTTTGTTGATTTTGATTGAAGAAAAATAATTAAATTAATTATCCTAAAGTCTACTTAGAAAATTAAATTAATAAAAATAAACTAAGTCTTTTTTGTGGTTTTTTTATTATGAAAAGAAAGTAATTAGACTTAAATTCTAATTTATTTTTAATTAAGACAAAGGTTAAAGTTTTAATTAATTAATTTAAAAAAATTAATTATTTAATTAAAAATGTCTAAGCCTAAATTTTTTTGTGAGTTTTTTTTTATTATTATAATTAAAATGATTAAGAGATGAAATAATTAAATAAAGCAAAAAGAAAAGAATTGGGCTTGACGGCTGAAGTAGAATGGGGGGGGGTGCAATTGAAATTTCGCTAAGCCCCGATTGTGAAGCCCAGGTCTATCCTTGGATTCAGTGTGGGCAGTACTTGATGGTACATGGTATCTCATGTTTAGATGTCATGCATTCCATGTAATTCCCCTAACATGCTCTAAGGATATCCAGGAACTCATAAACACACATTAGAACATTCAATAATTAATAAAAATAGAGATTCGAATTTGAGATTATACCAAAACGGTGATAGCTTGGATCCGGTGATCTGGGTCCTTGCAAGCTTTGAGGATGGTTGGAACGAGTCCCTGAGAACCTCAAGAGCAATGTATGATTACTAGTTCGTACCAAAAGTATCTGCAAAGTGGGTTTCAAATTTTTACCGCTTTTGATCATTTTGCAAAAATGGTAGAGCTCTCTCTAGGTTATGTAGGTATGTTGAAATGCTTGCTAGATGCTAGTTTATATAGAGAGGAATGAGGAGACAAGAAAACAAAGGTTTAAACAACCTTAAAGCAAATGTTTCAAAGCCATGAATGAAATTTGTAACTTTGGCCAAAAACAAGGAAACTTGTCATATTTTTAAATTTAAATGAATGTGGACATGGCTTCATGAAATCTTGGGCTTCAAGGAAAACTAAAACACCAGCCCAAATGCCAAAACTATTTCCAATTATTTTATACATTTTATTTTATATTTATTTTATACATTTTAATTAATTATTTCTTTAAATCTTTTTTATTTATTTAATCAGTAAATCAAACATAAAATCACAAAATAATAGATTTTAGTATTTTCTTAATTAAACTTAATTTTATAAATTAACTTATTTAATTATTTTGACTTTTCTTATTTAAAAATCAATTAGAATTAAGACTAATTAATTTCAATTCTTTTCATAAATAAAAAATGCCAAAAACGTTAGACTTTTTTTTAAATTAATAATTTCCTTTTTTTAATTAATTATATTTAATGTGATTTAATATTCTTTCCCAAATAAACAAAAACAACAAAAAAGATTTCATAATTCTTAGGGTTTTAGACGTCATTTCCATTTCGCGCGCGCTTACTTACTTTCACACTTATTTCATATTATTGTATCTGATTATAGGATGTAATAGAAGAATTAGGACATTTACTATTTTTTTACTTTCCCCAAGTTTTGGACTTGTAATTATTCCCCCCTCCCGAAGCCTTGTAATAGTTTAGGATTTATCTTTCGGCATTTTAAATTCCTGCAAACTATTAAACTGTTTAGATACATGAATAATAGGATTGTATGGCAAGAACATAATAATCAAACACTAGCAAACCTAATGCAAAGATAAAATAACTGAATACAACACACTCTCACATATACACCTCTAGGGTATCCCTACTTTTGTTGCCTTCGGAAAACAGTCACAACTCTCGAAACATGAGAGACTTTAGTGGCTACCCTCTGGTTTAAAAGATCAAAAATGGCCCTCTCGATGTTGCCTCGGTATGATCTTAAAACCCTATGGTGGTTACTAAAGTTTCTTTCCCAGTTGCCTTTGTGACTATACGATTCCCCTTCGAATGTCCCTCAAACATCCAACGACTAGGGCTACCTACTCACTAATAGTAGGATAGCACTATCTAAAGGAAAAGAGGAAAAGAACAAACTTTCGAGTAAAAGTAGATAGTCCTTAGATGTTATGCCCAAAACAAATTTTTACACAAACACAAAACTTCTTTCAAAAATATTTTTCAAAACACTTTATATACGTTCTCTAAGAATCCGAGAAACATTACAAAGTTCGCCATACTAAGGCGCTTTATTTCAAAATACTTTTCAAACACACAAAGCACAAGGTATTTTTCAAATGAGCTAAGCATATAAGAGCCTGTAGATAACTACAGATGGAAAGGGTGCTAACACCTTCCCTTTCCATAATCTACCCCCCTTACTCAGAAATAAATCTCGAAAGGTATTTTTCTGTTCTTTTCACCCTTTCCTTTGTTGGATAAAAGAAAATTCGGTGGATACTCTTGCTTATCTCCACATTTGCGATTACAAATTCAAAACCAATATAACAGTCGGTTCTGCCACCGTATCACAAATTCAGATGATGGTGAACTCTCTCTAATATCCAGAAGAATAAGTCAAATCTAGAAGCACATATAAAGTAAGTTCAAAGGTCAACAAAGGACATATGGAAGAGGTGAATCCACTTCCGGTCAAAGGAATACTTCTGGAAAAGGAGTTACTTTCTTTGAATGCAACGAGCCTGGACATTACAAAAATGATTGTCCAAAGCTTAAGAAAGACAAAAAGCCTATGAAGGCTTACAAAGCTAATAAGGGTCTCATGGAAACATGGGATGATTCAGAATCAGAAGATGAAGATTCTGATGAAGAGCATGCAAACATGGCATTCATGGCCAGGACCAGCAAGGAAGAAGCAGCATCAGAAGACGAACTGGCACTTAACTATGAGTCAGACTCTGATGAAGACAAAGAGGTACTTTCTTCCTTATCTCATTCTGAACTTGAAATTAGTTTATCTGAATTAATGAAAAGGTATCAATCTCTTCTAAGTAAACATAAAATCTTGAAAAAGAGTTTTGTTGCTACTTCTGAGAACACTACTATATATGAGCAAAATATTTCTGACTTAAATGAAAAACTATTTGTTTTAGAAAAATCAAA